TTGGCTGCACCACTTCTGATCCAGCCCCCTGCTAAGTGCTAGGGAAGGCAGCAGAGGATGGCTCGAGTGCCTGGGCTCCTGTCGCTCATGTGGGAGACCCAGATGGAATTCCTGGCTCCTAGCTTTGGCCTGACCCAGTCTTGGCCATTGTAGCCATTTAGGGAGAGAACCAGTGGGTGGAAGACCTCATATATCCCCCCTGCCTTGCTCTGCCTTTTAAATAAATAATAAATCTTTAAAAAGTGACTCATTTCCCATTTCATGATTTAAAACAGTACCTGTAAGTCCGAGGACTGGCCTTCTGGTTGCTGCAGCCATCCCAGGCCCTGGTGGGTAGATCGGCTTTGCTGGTGGCAGGACAGGTTCGCCAGGAAGGCGTGGCTGAGTGTGGCTCGGGCTGAGCATAGCCTCGGGCTTCAGATGTTACCTGTGCCGGGGATGGTTCGACAGACACGCATGCGTACAGTGAATGGTTGCTGCAGGCAAGCGGTTCACATCCCTCGGCTCCCACAGCCCCTTTGTTTTGTGGCCAGGGTGCCCATGCGGAACACGCCTGCCCCTGCCCAGTGTGGTGACCTGCAAGCGCACGCTGTGGGTGCCGTCTCCAGGCTCACTCAGCCTGTGCGCCTCGGACCCACGCGTCCTCGGCCCTCCGCCCGGAGCCCTGTTTTCTCTGTGGCCGTGTGTTCTGCCTCTTTTGTGTTCCACTTCGAATGAGAGCACGCACTAGTTTTCTTCATTCACTCAGTATATCTTCCTGGTTCATCCAGGATGTTGGAAAAGACAAGATCTCCTTTGTTTCTGGGGCTGAAAGGCACTCCAACATTATAGTGCCGTATATGTCTCTATAAATAGCCATGCATACCATGTATACATACCTGTGTATATAGTACTATATGTATATAGTACCCGTGTATCGTGTATGTATGTGTGTGTGTATAGCACTGTGTACTGTATGCATATGTACCTGTATATATGGTACTATATGCTGTGTATGTGTATATATGTATGACATTGTATATATGGTATAACATACCGCAAACATGTATATATGGCACAATACAGTGTACATGCGTGTGTACATATGGTACAATACAGTGTGCATGCGTGTGTACATATGGGACAGTACAGTGTGCATGTATGTGTATATATGGGACAATACAGTGTACATGCGTGTGTATATATGGGACAATACAGTGTACATGCGTGTGTATATATGGTACAATACAGTGTACATGCGTGTGTATGGTACAATACAGTGTACATGTGTGTGTACATATGGTACAATACAATGTACATGCGCGTGTACACATGGTACAATACAGTGTACATGCGTGTGTACACATGGGACAATACAGTGTACATGCGTGTGTACATATGGTACAATACAGTGTACATGCGTGTGTACACATGGGACAATACAGTGTACATGCGTGTGTACACATGGTACAGTACAGTGTACATGCGTGTGTATATGGTACAGTACAGTGTACATGCGTGTGCACACATGGGACAATACAGTGTACATGTGTGTGTACATATGGTACAATACAGTGTACATGCATGTGTATATATGGTACAATACAGTGTACATGTATGTGTATATATGGTACAATATATGTGTATGTATTTGTAAATGACATGCTATATATGTGTAGATGGTACTGCATACTGTATATATGTGTGTATCTGTATATATAGTACTATGTTCTGTGTATATGTATCCTTATACACACACATGTTCTAACGCTTGTATTCCTTATATATACAAGCACACATTCTAACGTGTACATTCCTCATTTATACACACATGTTCTACTGAAGTGTGTATTCGTATACATGCACCCATTATGTTTTTTAAATACTTATTCCTTTGAAAGGCATAGTTACAGAGAAGAGAGACAACGAGAGATCTTCCATCCAGTGGTTCATTCCCCAGAGGACCGTGACGACCAGGGCTGGGCCAGGCTGGAGCTAGGAGTAAGGAGATTCTTCTGGGTCTCCCACATGGGTGCAAGGGCCTAGATTCTTGGGCCATGCTCTGTTAGTTTCCCAGGCCATTTGCAGAGCTTGTTTGGAAGTGGAGCAGCCAGGACTTGAACCTGCACCCATATGGGATGCCGGCATTGCAGGCCACCTAACCTGCTGCGCTGCTGTGCCACAGCATAGCCCCTTTTCCCCCGACGTTCTGATGTGTGCACTCCTCACGTGTACAGGCACGTTCTACTAGAGTGTGTATTCCTCGTGCACACACACGTTCTTCTCTGTCCACAGTCTCTTGACTCACTCGCCTCTCGGTGGACACTTTGGTGGTTCCGACCCTGGCTGCCGCACACGGCTGCAGTGTCTTCACGGGTGGTGATGTCATTTCCTTGGGCACACTGGGAAGAGGGATTGCTGGGCCTTGTGGTCATTCTGTGTTTAGTCTCTTTGGAAATGTCCACGCCATTCTGCACGATGGCTGGGCCAGTCCAGCCATCCACCACCAGTGTACAGGACCCCTTTTCTCCTCACTATCACCTCCACTGGTTCTCTTCTGATGTCCTGGTGGCAGCCGCCCAACAGGGGTGAGCTGACAGGTCACTGTGGCTTTTACTGGTACCTGCTGGATAATTGGTCCTGCCACGCACCTGTTCATATTGCCAGTGGCTGCTTTGTCCAAACCACTGACCTAGGATCATAATGGATTCTCAGGAGTTGAGCTAGGAGAGGGGTGATCAGCTTAGTTCTTAATAAAAAGATAGTAATGGTGTAGAACCCGTGTTTTTTTTTTTTTTTTTTTTTTTTTGACAGGCACAGTGAGAGAGAGACAGAGACAGAGAGAAAGGTCTTCCTTTTGCTGTTGGTTCACCCTCCAATGGCCGCCGCAGCCGGCGCATTGCGGCTGGCGTACCGCACTGATCCGAAGGCAGGAGCCAGGTGCTTCCCCTGGTCTCCCATGGGGTGCAGGGCCCAAGGACCTGGGCCATCCTCCACTGCACTCCCTGGCCACAGCAGAGAGCTGGCCTGGAAGAGGGGCAACCGGGAGAGAATCCGGCACCCCGACCGGGACTAGAACCTGGTGTGCCGGCGCCGCAAGGCGGAGGATTAGCCTAGTGAGCCACAGCGCTGGCCCTAGAACCCGTTTTGAAGTTACGTGTGTAAGGCTGGATCCGAGGGATGTTAACATTAAGGAGCGGTTTTATTTTTGAAGGTATGTTTACCGATGGTGTGATTTCCAGGGTTTGCTGCAGGGTCGTCCTGGGGTTGCTAACAGGACATGCCACGAGGCTGGCCTGGGCCGTGGCCGGTCGAGGTGCTGCAGGGGAGTTCTGCCTGCAGAACAGTAATGTCTAAAATTTCCCAGAACGAAGAACACTTTAAAGGGTGGAATACATAGAACGAGCCTATCTGTCAGGGCTCCATTGCGCTTCATGGAGCTCTTTCTGTGTTCAGCAGGAGGGACCGAATGCAGGGAGTTAAGTTCCCGTGGCTTTGCAGACATTGCCAGCACAGCAGGCCACACACTGGACCTCTGGGGGCCATTACTGTGGCGCCACCATTCCAGTGGCCTGGAAAGGTCGAGTGCTTCCCCCTGCCGCCACCACCACAACGGATGGGATCTGGAGCCCCAGCCGCTAGGGGTGTGGCAATGTGGTGTCCACATTCTGTCCTTTGCAGTACTGGGCCAGAAACAGGTGGGAATAAGTAGCGAGTAGGCCAGTCTGCCTGAACAGGTTGCCGTCAGGATTTGAGGGGAGATGGGAATGACGAGGGAGGCTTGTGTTGGCGCAAGACCTTCTGCGGTCCACGCATCTGCAGTGTCTTCACGCAGTCACAGGAACTGGATCATATGAAGAATCACGGGTGGACTGCGACTGTTTCTCTGACGGTTGGAAGTCCCCTTGTGTTACAACTGTTCCAAAGACCTGGGGGAAGCTCCGGCCATTGCGGCCAATTGGGGAGTAAACCAGCAGATGGAAGACCTCTCTCTCTCTGCCTCTCCTTCTGTCTCTGAAATTCTGACTTTCAAACAAATAAATCTTTAAAAAAAAATTCCTGGTGCAAGCAAGGCCCTTGCTTTCCCTACTTCTCAAGTCACTTATTTTTAGACACAGCTCAAATCCTCTCTCTCCATAAAACCGTACCTGGTTTCCCCAGGCCTCATTGATTTCTCCTGTCTGCCTGCATGCATGCATGTGCGCATGTGGGCACTGGTCTGTGTATATGTGTATTGCCTCGTGCATAGGATGCATGTATGCAGTGTGCATTGTGCATGTATCATGTATATGTATGCATTGTGATGCATGTAGTGTGTATGTCCTGTGTGTGTTATACACGTGTTCTGGTACATACTATGTGTATACCTGTGTGTGCCGCACACGTATGCGGTGTGTATGGCGTGCGTCCCTGAAATCTTTCTGCACTGTGGTCTCTGTCCCGCAGACCTTTTCCCCTGCGCCGTCAGCTTACGTGGGTGTTCTGCTGAAGTGGGCGGTTCCTTTGCCCGTCCTCTTTGTGTAGTTCACGTCGGCCCTTTTGGCCACCAAGACCGCGGTGCGTGGCTCAGGACCTTCTGAGATTGTGGTGAGGATCGGAGAGGCTGTGTGTGGAGCGAGCTGTGATCGTAGCCTGCTGTAAAGGTTGAGAGGGTACCTGTGAGTGGCTTGACGTGGAGGTCGGCTCTGTGTCGCACAGTCTGATGGTGGTGTCCACCGCGATCCCTGTTTCTTGACTGGGCTGGCCCGGCCCTCTGGCCTCCATGCCGTTGGCCATGTCTCCTTGCAGGGAGGAGGCCAAGCACAGCCCCACCCCCACCCGGCCCTCTGATGTCCCGCGCAGCCGCTGGACGGCCGTCTCCGGCATCGGCAGCCGTCGGTGTGTGGACCTGGGTCTGCCGACCTCACTCGGGAGGAAATGATTTTCTGTTCAGTGGAAAGAGCTTGTTCCGGAAGTTCCGTGTCGAGTATGGTTTCTGTCTCTGAAAGTGCCTGTTTCTTACTTGTGCTTTCATTCTGCAGACTTTCATTCTGCAGACACTCACCGAGCCCCCTGCGTACCAGGCGCCGTGTCTGTGAGCACGGGACACCCGGGGGAGCCACAGGACGGTTCACGCACGGTGACGGAGCCTGCTTGCTGAGGTAACGGGTGACTTCCTTCCGCGTCCTTGTCTCTCCAGTACCAAAACTGTTTTCTCCCAGAGCCTGTGTTACGCATTAATAGGGCCCTTATGTGTTTTTGTTAAAAAAAAATTCCTGTTCTTCAAGATGCTTACGATATATCACTTTCTGAAAAAAATAGGTTGAAAACAGCCTAAAATTAAACAAAAAAAGAGGCAGGTGGAAAGGGCTCTGGAGATGAGAGCGCGGAGTGAGAGCAGGAAGGAGGGGGCAGGACAGCAGGGCAGCGTGGGAGGCCTGGGCGGCCGCGGGCAGCGTGGGGTCCGTCCCTGTTAGTCTCGCCGCCCGCGGGGGGTCCCTCAGCCCGCTGAGCCCCTTCCTCGCTTAGCCCTGTACACATGGATGAGGAGTTGGACGGGCACTATTTTCGCGGCATTGCCACGGCCTTGGGGACGGTGTCACTGACGTTGCTAGTTTTCCCCTTCGTTTTCCGGTTTTCATTTCCAAGGACAAGTTCGGCAGGGGAGGTAAATCCTAGTGAAGTTTATTCTGTGCACTTAACCTGCCCTGGCCTACGACTGAGCTGGTTTGGGAGGCCGGGGCTTCCTCCGTTCTGCCTGAGCCCGAGCCTGAGCCTGTGCCTGTTGGTTTAAGTGACCTGTTCTGCGTGTGGTGTTTTTGTTTTTAAGATAATGTTCACGAATTTGAATGGCGGAGTTGCAGAGAGAGGGGCTCAGATCTCCCATTACCTGGTTGGCCTGCAGCGCGCTCATGAAATGCCATAGGAAGTGTCACACTCAGGTGGCAGACTTCAAGTCCAGCACTGGTCACCCCTGCTCTCCTCAGAAACGCCGGGCCTGGTGCCCTGTTTCCTTCCAGTCTGTCGGGGAGAAGACCCCTCGGCCTGGACTGAGAACGCACCTGCTGAGCGAGGGTCCCCTCAGGCCATTCTTGCCACCGCAGCCTTGAGGCGGTCACACGAGGGGTTCACACAGCAACTCCCAGAAATTCCTGTCTCTCCCTGTTGAGCCCATCTGCACAGCTTTCATCAAAGGGGGCAGGGAGAGGAGAGTGGGGTCTCGCCTTTTTGATGTCCGCTTTTGCAAAGTAGGCAGCGTTGGCACCAGAGACAGGTCGAGCCAGCCAGTCCTGCCCTGCTGCCTGCCAGGCCTGGGTCAGGGCAGTGGGCTGGGCTCTCCCAGTCCTGGCTCCACGCCTCCCAGGCCGCCCTGGCCTGCTGCAGGGCTGCGGTCCCTGGAAGTTAGGTGCAGGGACGTGTTAAGGGATCCTGACCCCAGATGACAGGAGCCTGCAGGAGGCGAGAGAGCACCACACTGGGTGTCGGCTGTGGATCCTTGCCGTGCAGTCGCTTACTAAGACACTCCTGACTCTGGGGAGTGCAGAGTCACAAACACTGTCCACGGGGCTTTGCCTTTGGAAGCAGAACCTGCATCCTGGTGACATCCTGCTCCATCCCATAGTCCCATCACCACATCCCCGAGGACCCCACGAGCACACGGCCTTGGCTTGGTAGTGTCTGCCTCTCTGGCACCTGCCGTGTGCCCCCCACCCAGGGTACCACTGGGGACCCCTCGGAAGTTCAGCCGCGGCATCCACGTGGGATCACACGTGAACTCTGAAGTGTTTCGTTTCTGAGAGGGAAATGCGGCAGCAGGTGGATTACCCCAAATCCCTGTCACGGAGTGATTCATTGAGAGCTCGGTTTAATCTGCAGTTGATGGATTTCAATACACAGCCTTGTCCTCTGTGGGTCGACCACCAGCTTGAGGAGCTGATGCCTGGTCATGCCACCCATCGAGGATTTGGGTTTTCATTAAGCTGCGTTGCTGAAGCACAGGTGCTTCTGTGCCCTGCCATCTGCCCAACTGTGTGTGTGCCCCGTTACAAAACGAGATGGCTCTCGTCTTAAGCATGCTTTGATGAAAGCATGTCTGTGTGGCCTGCAGCTGACGTGGTATTCCTGCAGATGTGAGTGTCAGAATTATAAACATGACTCACTTTGTATTTGAAGACGGAAGGAATTAATCAAAGGCAGAAAGTTTTGGGATTTGGCCTCTATAGCTGATTTACAAAGATTGCTTCAATGCATCTGGTAGCAAAATGTTGCATTATCGATCAATTAATTGCTTACTTGTGGTAGCTTGTATTCAGTCAGAGCTGGTTTTCACATGGATAATTAGTTTCTACTTTGCTGTTTTGTAGGAGTATCGAGTGTACATTTTTGCTGCTATCTGCTTCTAAATAAATACACCTGGAACGGGAGAAATTCGGACTGATTTTCTTTGACTACAGCTACCTTTTAATCATGATGCATTTCAAAAGTGGACTCGAATTAACTGAGTTGCAAAACATGACAGTGCCGGAAGATGATAACATTAGCAACGATTCCAATGATTTCACTGAAGTGGAAAATGGCCAAATAAATAGGTGAGTGTTTTCCCACTAAGATTTTCTGTCCAATGAAAGAAATGGCTCTAAAAATTAGTCAGGTTTTCATTTATTCTCTTGAATTATGCATTACTAAAGTCACGTTCCACCTGAAGATGCAATTTGAATTTCTTATATGACATCTGTTGGGCACAGCCTACAGTCGCAGATGAAGCAAATAGGAAAGTAATTTATTCATCTTTTTCACAAATTTCATTTGCATCTGATAAAAATGTACAAATGCATTAGACCCCAGGCAGCCTGGACTTTTCAGAAGCTTTGTGCTTATGGAATTTCACTGGATCCGTGCTAGAATGTGTACTACAGTCATCTGTGCACATTTAATCCAGAAATGGTCAAAATGTGGGTAGGCCTTTGGCACAAACAGTGAGACTTTGCCGGGGGCTCCTTGTACCCAGTACTGCAGCACCTGGTTTGAGTCCTACCTGTACTTCCAAGCCGGCTTCCTGCTAATGCACACCCTGGCAGGCGGCAGGGGATGGCCCAAGTAGTTGGATTCCTTGCCATCCCCGGGAGAAACCTGGAATGAGTTCCTGACTCCTGGCTTTGGCCCTGCCAATCCCAGCTGTTACAGGCATTTTGTGCAGAAAAATAGCTGATGGAAGCTCTCGCTCTCTCTCTCTCTGTCTCTCTCTGTCTCTGTCTCTCTGTCTCTGTAACTTTCAAATCAACTAAATAATGATTTTTAAAAAAGGTTTATTTATTTATTTGAAAGGCAGAGTTACAGAGAGGCAGAGGCAGAGAGAGAGAGAGAGAGAGAGAGAGAGAGAGGGAGAGAGAGAGAGGTCTTCCATCCTCTGGTTCACTCCCTAAACGGCTGCAACAGCTGGAGCTGAGCTGATCTGAAGCCAGCTGCTGGATCTTCTTCCAGGTCTCCCATGCACGTGCAGGGGCCCAAGCACTTGGGCCATCTTCTTGCTTGCCCAGGCCATAGCAGGGATTGGAAGTGGAGCAGCTGAGACTCAACCAGCACCCATGTGGGATGCCGGCACTGCAGGCAGCGACTTTACCTGCTAAGCCACAGTGCCGGCCCCAAATAATGATTTAAAAAATTATTTAATTATTTAAAAGACATTGTTAGAGAGGAAGAGACAGAGAAATCTTCAGTCTGCTAGTTCACTCCCCAAATGGCTATAGTGCCTGGAGCTGGGCAGTCAGATGCCAGGAGTTTCTTCTGGGTCTCCCACATGGGTGGAGGAGTCCCAGTACTCGAGCCTCCTGCTGCTGCTTTCCCGGGCACACTAGCGGGAAGCTGGATCCGAAGTGGAAAGGCCAGAACTAGAACATGGGATGCCGGTGCTCAGCCTGCAGCTTTTCCTGCTGCACCGCAGTGCTAGCCCCTGAACCATTGCTTTCAAATACTGATCATGAATTGGAGCATGTTTGGAAATCAGCATAGCAAACCGCATCAAGCAGCATAAAAATGCTCCAGATACAGTAATTCCATTAAATTCCTTTGCCCACTGTGCCACAGTGCCAGCCTCTCTCTCTCTCTCTCTCTCTCTCTCTCTCTCTCTCTCTATATATATATATATATATATATATATATATATATATATATTTTTAATATTTATGTTTCAAAATTGTGGTTGCCAGTGTCGCTGTGTGGGGCAGGATGCATCTCTTCCTTCCTTTAATTTCCTGCCCTCACTGATACAGGCTGTGAGTCCTGCTTCATTTCTGGCTCTAGGAGAATTAAATTAAAAACAGCAAAAGCCAACGTGAAGGTAATAGTGGTCAGCAGAACTCAGAAAGGGCCTGTGCCATCTCCTTTGTGCCGTGTCGGGAGGCCTGGCTTCTAGAAGAGATGAGCTGTCGTAGCTCGTGCCTGCGAGGGCTGCCCTGAAACGCTCCTGGTGTCTGGGGGAGGAAGGCAGGGCTGATGTCACGCCTCCGTCTCTCCAGCCCTGGAGCTCCGGGGGACGGTGGCTCTCTGCAGAGCACTCAAGACAAGCGTTAGTCTCAGGCATGCAGTAGCAGTAAGTTTTCAGGGGTGGGAGATTGGCCTCATGCCTAAGAGCCCGGCCAGGATGTCTGCCCCGTGTGGCACGTGAGAGTGGCTGGGTCTGACTCCTGGCTCTGGCTCCCGACTCCCGACCCTGAGAGGCAGCAGTGGGTCCCTAGCACTCACTTGGGAGACCTGGTTGGTGTTCATAGCTCCCAGCTTTGGTCCTGCCTGGCCCCAGTGTCGCAGACATTTGGGAAGTGAACCAGTAGATGGGAGCTTTCTGTTTGTCTTGTTCTGTCTCTCAAATAGGTAAAAAATAAATTTATGGAAAAACCCAGGGTTTTTAGGTTGAGCTGGGAGCAGAGCAGAGGCACCGGGCCTTCAGGCAGCAGCCCCCACGCCCTCCACTGTTTGGTTTCGTGCTCTGTACCTGGATGGTGGCACCTTCAGCAGGTGCTGTGATGCCCTGGGAAAGCTGGCAGGGCCCGGCAGGCGGGCGTGGGGCCCAGAAGGCCCCCAGGTGGTGCCCCCTGCCACTGCACACACTGAGTCACTCTGGGTGCAGGCGTCTTCACCTCTGGGAGCCCTGGACCTGCCCCAGCGCACTTTCCCAAGTGTCGGCTGAGTGAGACAGAGAGGGATAGATGGGAGAGAGAGACAAAGAGATGGGTAAGGTGAGAGGGAGAGGCAGAGACAGACACAGGCAGATGAGTGGGGAGGAGAGGGAGACAGGGAGAGAAGTACATGGCTTTGGGTTTAGAACTTGTACTTCTAAAAGTTCATGGAAAATGGAATTAAAGGTAATGTTTACTTAGGTGCCGAAGAAGTGAGACCTGTGTGTACTTTTCCCATTGTGTGAGGTCCCCTGGCTCTGCCTGGCTCCCGTGTGGTCTTGAGCTCTGGGCCCCGCACCCGTCCCTGTGCGGATCATGCCTTGCACGCAGGATTGCTGGGAACAGAGACCTAAAGCCTGCGCAGCCTCAGAGCAGGCCTCCGTCCGTGGAAGCCTGCGCAGGCTCGCGTCCTGACACCTGGTGCAGTCGCCGGGAGGGCGGGCGTTCTTGAGCAAGCGTGTTTCCCTGAAGCAGGGTGCAAACAGCAAGGGGAAAGTCTGTGACGGACAGGCGTGGTCACGTGAGGAGGCCACGTCGTTCTTTGCCTCACCAGGGAGCGGTGACATTGTCCAGACGCCCCTGCTCGGCATCCCCTGTGTCCCTTCCCTGTGAGCGGTCAGTGCTGCCAGACCCAGCAACTGCAGGGCCAAACCTCGGGGTGGCTCTGTTGCTCCCCCGGATTCGCCCCCTTTCCGCCTTCACACGTTTCTGGAGTGCTGCACGCCATGCTGTTACTGGAGAGGACCCGTGAGCAGGTAGCCCGGTCCGTAGCTCCTGGGAAGACAGAGGCTTCGTCCCTGGCTGGGAGGGGCTTGGCGGCCGTGAGTGCCCCCTTCCTCTGTTTGGTGCTCCAGTCCACAGATCCTCCGGCTGCCGTCGCTGTCTCCTCGGCCTGTTTGCAGGCTGCTGGTGTCGCTCAGTGTCTGCGCCCGCTCGTTCCTTGCTTGTGTTTCCCGGTCCCTTTGTCTCTTGCTTGTTTCCGCTGATTTTCTCCCGTGTAGAATGCTGGCATTTCAGGGGCAGGCACGACCCATCCTTCCTGCTGCTCTTGATGTGTTGTTATTGCTTAAGATTGTTTACTTATTTGAAAGGAAGAGTTCCAGAGGGTGAAAGAGACACAGAGATATGGAGACGAGTCTTCCATCCATTGATTCGCTCCTCAAATGGCCACAATGGCCGGGGCTGGGCCAGGCCAACGGCAGGAGCCAGGAGCTCCGTCTGGGTCTCCCCATGTGTGTCAGGGTCCTAGCTGTCTTCCACTGGTTTTCTAGGCACATTATCAGGGAGCTGGATCAGAAGTGGAACAGTGGGAGTGGAGGGCACGGAGGGACCCGGTGTTGTGGCACAGTGGGTAAAACCACCGCCTGTGATGCCAGCTTCCCACGTGAACTGTGTGCATATGGGAACCCTGCGTTGTAGGCGGCTGCTTAACCCACTGCCCTCCGCTGCCTCGGCTTTGGTTTTAAGCAACAGCTGTAGATTGCTTTGTCTCCTTCCACTGTCCCTCAGTGGAATGCCTGCATACTTTCTCAGGTTTTCAGTTTGGGTCAGCAAGTCATGCATTGTAGGGTTGGGTTGGGTCGGATCTGGTTTGGTTTTGCTGTGGTTTGGTTTGGTTCGTTTCCAGAGCGTTTGGCCAGTGAATGGTTGATCGAGTTCTGCTTTATGGGTACAGGCTGACCTGTGAAAACTCCTAATACTTTTATCATCCTGAGACCTTCTCCCATAGCAGCACATTTTAAGTCAATAAAGAGACATTTTCACATTAATTTCATTGCCAGTGGGCAGTACTTTTAATCAGCAATTGCATTTTTGAATAGTAGGATAACAGAAACCTGTGCTAAACGGCTTGACCTAGTTATTTTGAACAGAATTTTCCATTACAAAAAGGTTGATTTTATCTGTGGGTTTTTGTTTTGTAAGCTTACAGAAATACAAAGCAAAGATGAAAAGATTAGAGAGAAGAAAAGGTTAAGCCAGCGAAGGGTTTGAAGATTTGCCTCATTCCTAAATGGAAGGGCTGCTTAGGGGGTTCTTGGGGCCCCGTGGGTGTGGGGGGCCTCACTGCCACACCCCATGCAGGTGCGAGGGAGAAGCAGTACAGAGCCCGGGGTCAGGGCTTGGACTTGGGAGGAGGGGAAGGGGCGGCTCAGTCCCTGCCCTCAGTGCCCTGGCTTGGCTCTGCCCCCTCTGCACTGAGCAGATCATCTAGAGGGGCAGGGGGCACCAAGATCCCAACACCAAGGCAAAGTCCTCACTTCCTGGAGCTGCGGGGGGAGGGATCTGTGCGTGGAGCTTACCCGGAGGCAGGGGAGCTGGCAGAGGGGGTGGGCTCAAGGACACAGAAATGGGAGGGTGCGTGGTCAGCCCCAGGAGTCCCTCCTTACTGTCCTTGCCGGGACTCCATCCTGCCGGAGATCCTCATGTCCCGCGGGCACCTCGGATGCCTGGGAATGTGGTCCAGCCTGGTTCTTGTCTTGGCACAGGAAGGAATTCGGATGTGAGACAGAGAGGAGTGGTCTGGGAGGTCGCAAGTTTCCACAGGGTAGGGCATCATCAGAAACGGATTTGGGAGAGATGGTTTTGGGGCCACCTGTAGAGTGACTGGGGTGTGGGCGGGACTTTGCAGGGTGAAAGGCGGGGCTGCTTCCAAGGTGGGTTTCCACTCCTTTCCACACAAGCTGAGTCCTCTGAGGTCTCTCACACATGCAGGCTGGTTTCTAGCCCCCAACCTAACAGGATTTGGCTGTGCCCTAACAGGCAGGGGATTGGTGTTCGGATTGTTTGACTGTTGTTCAGGCTGTTCCCCTAATTTCAAAATAGTAGAAATCTTGCGTGCGGTTGGGATCAATACATTAATACAAGCTGTTAACAGGAGCCGTGGAGTGAGGGCGTATGGGAACTCTTTGTGTTATGACCTCGCTGTTACTGTTTTGTTAAGTTTAAAATTATTCTGAAAGAAAGCATTAAAAATTTTTAAAATAAAAATGATGGAAATTCTCCTTGGAAAACAAGTCCGTCCATAGGCAAGCGATGGGGGCCCTGCTGGGTGAGGGTCTGGGGTCCTGAGGTGCCTGGAAAAGCTAGCCTGGCTGGCCACAGGTGGCTGTGAGTCGGTCTCCACTGGGAACGCCCAGTGCCTGTCCCTTTGTGGGCAAGGACAAGGGACACTGCTCTCCCACCCATGCTCAGCTAAGCTGCACGGCTCACTTCCAAGAAGACGGGGCAGTGCGGAGGGTGGAAGCAGAGCCAGACAGGCGGCAGCAGCGGCAGCGCCGCAGACCCAAGCCCGGCGTCCACGCTATCTCTCACCCCGCCCAGCCCAGGCTTGTCCTCTGGCTCTCTGCCTGCGACTTAGCTTTGCTCAGCTTGTGACCACTGGACGAGGGCTCCTTCCCTCCCCCAGTCCCTGGCATCACCAGGCAGGTGCCAGGTGCAGGCACAGTTCGGAGTGTCGTTTGCCCAGCACATCAGGCTCAGGGTCTGGTCTGCAGGATGCATGCTTCCTGCCTTTAGTTTTTCCTGGAGAGGTAATGCCAGGGAGAACCAGCCCCTGGGTCAGATACGCAGAGGCAGAAAACCCCGCCATGAGCGCAGACCCGTGGTGCTGTGGAGGGTGCACAGCATCCTTCCCAAAGCACTGGAGGCCGCGGTGCACAGCTGAGCGCTGCGGCCCCTTCCTGGGAGCGCGGGCGGCGGCCCGTGAGCAGCTGCTGGTCGTCGGTTCTCACCTCGGCCGGCTGGGCCATTGCTCGCCAGGTCTGGAGATCCAGGGCTGCCTCCTGTGTCCAGAACACGACGGCAGTGGCTTGGGTGTGCACTTTGCTCTGACACAAGCATTTGCTTTTTAAAAATGAAAAGTTGGGACGGCACCGCAGCTCACTAGGCTAATCCTCCACCTGCGGCGCCGGCACCCCGGTTCTAGTCCCGGTTGGGGTGCCGGTTCTATCCCGGTTGCTCCTCTTCCAGTCCAGCTCTCTGCTGTGGCCCAGGAGGGCAGTGGAGGATGGCCCAAGTGCTTCGGTCCCTGCACCCGCGTGGGAGACCTGGCTCCTGGCTTTGGAATGGCGCAGTGCGCCGGCCGTAGTGACCATTTTGGGGGTGAACCAATGGAAGGAAGACCTTTCTGTCTCTCTGTCTCTCTCTCTGTCTCTCTCTCTCTCACTGTCTGACTCTGCTTGTCAAAAAAAATTAAATTAAAAAAAAAAATGAGAAGTTTAGGCCGTGAGTCCTGTAACCCTGTGTGTTTGGTGGTTCTGGGAGCACTCTGAAGTCTCTGTTCTCTGTGTGTGTGCGCAGCCTGCTCCCCACCTCTGTCTCTTGCACTCCGTGCCCAGGAAGGACAGCGGCTCTGGCCCACGTGCCCAGCACGAGGTGCTGTGAGACCACGTAACAGTGGGACTCCCGTTTCGCAGCCTATGCCCGGGCCTGCAGACCTGCTAAGGATTTGAGCACAATCTTGAGACCTGAGTGCTTCCTTTTTTCTTTTTAAAAAATATTTGTTTGTTTGCTTATTAATTTGAAAGGCTGAGTTACACAGAGAGGGTGGAACAGAGAGAGTGATCTTCCATCCAGTGGCTTACTTCCCAAATGACTGCAATAGGAGCTTCTTCCAGGTCTCCTACGGAGGTGCGGGGGCCATCTTCCACTGCTTGCCCAGCAGCGTGATCCGGGAGCTGGGTTAGAAGTTCCGCAGCTGGGACTTGAACCGGCACCCATGCGGGACGCCGGCACTGCAAGAGCTGCTGCATCACAGCTCTAGCCCCCAGCCTCTGACTACCTGCGGACCAGTGCCTGCCTTCTGTTCTGTATTCCTTGGCCTGCCCTCCGGCAGCCCAACCCAGACTCCCAGGCAGTTGCTGGAGAAGTGTGTGACGGGGAGACTGTTGTCCCTGTTGCATGAAGGTGGGATCCCCATTCGGTGACGTTGTGCTCCGAGCAGCTGAGCCGAGAAGGAACCCTGCCTCCAGTGCGCCGCTGACTCCAGGTCGGACGCCCGTCCTCCCGGTGTTCTCTTAAATACCAGGTCGATAGCAGTCTTGACGTGAGCTGAGTGGGAGACAAATCCACGTGTATGTCACCTTACATCGTGTACTTGTTTTAATTGATCATTAAAACCATTCGACAGCCATTGCTCTCTGACTCGGGCTGTCTCATTTCCTCTCAGGACGAGCACCCTTGTTTTCACTGGTTTGCAGTGTATTTGGTAAGACAAGGACGGAGGCAGTGCACACTGGCCCCGAAACGGGAAGGGGATCTGGGTTGGGACAGCACCTCCCGGGAAAGCGGGACGCGTCGGGGACGGTAACACTGTCTTCAGCTTGGTGAGCTCCCAGTGGTCCTGAGGCCGCGTGCCTTTCGCTTGTCTCCCCAGCAAGTTCATTTCTGACCGCGAGAGCAGGAGAAGCCTCACCAACAGCCACCTGGAGAAGAAGAAGTGCGACGAGTATGTAAGTGTCCCGGGGTGAGGGCGGGTTGACCGCGAAAGCCAGGGAAGCCGCCTGCGATGGGTGGGGGGACTGGAGTGGGCTCTGCAGCCACTGAAGACACGCCTTTCAGTTTTCTGTCCCGGGGATCCCGGCTTGCTGAGCCGTCTCGGGCTGCTCTGCTGGGCGTGATGTTGGCCTTTTTGTCCAGATTCCAGGAACGACCTCCTTGGGCATGTCTGTGTTCAACCTGAGCAACGCCATCATGGGCAGCGGGATCCTGGGCCTCGCCTTCGCCCTGGCCAACACGGGGATCCTGCTGTTTCTGTGAGTATGCACGCGGCCACGCTGTCCTTCTGCCTCCGTGACTGCACGTGAGACACTGCGAGATGTCCACATGCTCTTTACTTATTACGAACTTGGCCGAGTTGCTGGGCCGTCTGTCCTGCTGAGCGGGAGTGTTCAGTCTAGAGACGTGCACCCTTCTGACTGGCGTTCCAGTGCCTGGCACGTGGCAGTGGCGTCTTCATGTGGTGCCATTAAGTTCCTGGATGCTGACGGTGACAACTGCTGTAGCTCTGCCGGGGAGCGGTCCCTGTAGCTCTGTGAGGCACCCACCCACAGATGAGGAAACCGAGGTACAGAGGGCGGTGTGTATTGGGACCTCTGCCTCTGTCCCCAGCCTGAAGGATCCCTGTTCCTGGGCTACCCCAGCTGTGATTGCTGGGTAAAGGTGAACAGACGTGAAGACCCGTTCTGGGCCGGTGCCGCGGCTCACTAGGCTAATCCTCTGCCTTGCGGCGCCGGCATACCAGGTTCTAGTCCCGGTCGGGGCGCCGGATTCTGTCCTGGTTGCCCCTCTTCCAGGCCAGCTCTCTGCTATGGCCCAGGAGTGCAGTGGAGGATGGCCCAAGTGCTTGGGCCCTGCACCCGCATGGGAGACCAGGAGAAGCACCTGGCTTCTGGCTTTGGATCGGCGCGGTGCGCCGGCCGTAGCGCGCCGGCCACAGCGGCCATTGGAGGGTGAACCAATGGCAAAAAGGAAGACCTTTCTCTCTCTCTCATTATCCTGTTCTGTCCGTGCTCTGTTCTCGCTCTGCCAGTCACCTCCCTTCCAGCCTTCTGGGTTCTGAGTCCCACGTGCCTCTGATTCCTGGTGTTTTAGGCCAAGCCAGGCTTCGGTGCCCTGGACACTGTGGGGTCTGCTCGTTCCTGGCGTTCTGCAGCCCCGTGATGCTATGCCCTTGTTTCCTTCGCTGGGGTTGGCACCGGTGCTGTTCCCCTTCGGAGTCCGAGGCCGTGGGTCAGGGACCCTCACCGTGGGGGTCCGCTCCTTGCTGCCGTTCCTGTCCTGGAACCGCTGCTTGCCGTCTGCATTGCTGTGGACCGCTCTTCCAGCTGTGGCCTAGACTTGAGTTCCTGTAGCGTTTCACTGTGCTGCCGGGGCTGCGCCCTCCCCCCTTATTAAGCGTTTTATTTCCGTTACCATTTTTTACTTATTGGAGATGTTTTTAGCGTTCTCTGAATGCTCACGTCACCGTGTCATTGTGACGTCTCCCCTGAGGTCGGGTGAGGGTTTTCTGCTCTGTGGAAAACCTCAGCTGTAGATAGGAGTGGTCCGGAGGTCCCGGGCACTTGTTCATTCGACACCGCCAGCCCGCGTATCCTTCCACTCTGAGTCTGAACAGAAGGCCTCTCTCCAGCCACGACCCTGTCACCCACAGCCTCTTTCTAGCCAAGACCCCTGTCGCCCACAGTGGCCCCTTAACGGCCTCCGGCAGGCGTCTGTGTGCTGCTGTTCTCACACCCACGTGGCACAGCAGGCTCGTGTGTGTTCTGGGCTGTGCTGTCCGGGTGGGCTCCCTGTGGCTCCCCGGTTAGTTTGTGTGTGGAAGCAGCAGGGCCCACAGCCCCTACTGACTGCATGTGTGCCGCGGGTGGCACGCTCCTTCCTGTTGGCTCGCGTCGGTCTCTGAATGTCACGGCGGACGCTTTGGTCAGCTGTCAGGTGGCTCCTCCTCGGCTGCCGTGTCAGCAGAGAGGAGCACGGGGCTCCCGTGTGCCTGGCGTGTGGAGGCAGGGCTCACAGGCCACGGCGTCACTCAGGGAGCAGCACTGTGGGCTCCCAGGGACTCTCCTCTTGGGCCGTCCCAGCCACCCAGAAAAAAACCTCCTGGCTCCCTGCCTCAGAGGCTGGGCCTGGCTGCCCTCTCTCTGGGGGCCAGGTGGAGGAAAGCACCCCGGCGTCCGTGTGTCCACTCGGGCCCCACGTCTCACAGTGGTTCCCCCACACTGTGCTCATCCCTGCCCCGGAACCTGTGGTTTGAGCTTCCCAGCACCTTCAGAGCAAGGCCCGGCTGGGAGGGTACAGCTGTGCCTGGAGAGCCGGCCCAGGGCCCCAGGCTCACCCCCTCACGGTTCCCACTTACAGCAGTGCCACCAGTGCTGTGCAGCGGTGGGGGTGGGAGTGGGGGTTCCGGTGTCCGTTGGGCTGGGCTTGGCTGTTCTCGCTGTCAGTTCCCGCTGCCTTCTGTGTCCTGCCTGTGTCTGCTCTCCCCATCCCAGCAGCTTTCCTGGGGGATAGGGAGGGGCAAGAGTAGTCCTGTGTCCAGTCCATTTCTAACCGTGTGTGCTCAGGAATCACTGATCTCCTACCTCAGGACTCTCCTTAGTTTTTTCTTTTTTTTAAGATGTATTTTATTTGAAAGAGTTATAGAGGGAGAGACAGAAAGGGAGAAAGAGAGAGAGGTCTTCCATCCAGTGGTTCATTTTCCAATGGCCACAATAACTGGGGATGGACCAGGCCAAATCCGAGGTCCAGGAACTTCTTCCAGGTCTGCAACATGGGTGTAGCGCCCGAGTACCTGGGCCATCCTCTGCTGCCTTCCCAGGCACATTCAGAAGTGGAGCAGCTGGGACTCAAACCAGCGCCCATATGGGATGTGGGCAGCAGCTACACCACGACGCTGGCCCGACTCCTTAGGTTTTGACCGAAGTAAAGAATTGGATAGAGTTGACTTTCACAGCAGAAAGATGTCCCTGGAAGAACCTGTTGTAGCTGTTTCATTGTCCACAGAGGCGTGGACAGCAGCACCGCACACGCCGTCGGCAGGCAGTCGTTAGAGACAAGCTTCTCTTGCTTGTCCAGAAGAGGCCTGGCTTTGTGGCCGCCCCTGCGGCTGCTCCGGGCCAGGAGGCTGTTGGCAAGAGCCTCGTGGCCTTTCATTTGGTCCTGGGCGCTGTTCCAGACTCACAGTGGCCGGGGGGACGGAGCCGCTTTAGAAAGGCCTCCAGTCTGGTCCCCCATGATTCCGGGAGTCACAGGGCCACTAGAAAAGCACTGGTGTGACTGCTTTGTCTTGGGGAAGTGTGGGCCAGCGTTTCGCTTGATTGTGATGGCTGTCGTCCCCATCCAGCAGTCAAGGAGTTCTGCCTGTTGTGAGATCTTGGATTTTACTGACCTGGAAGCCTTGTGACTGCACCAGGGCACAGGAAGTGCGCAGCCGGATGACAGCCGGTGTTCGTTCTGAGCGAGCAGGAGGCAGTGGCGAGGGCACTCCCGGGCCGCTCCTCCTCCCCACACCCCGGGGCTTCCCTTCACCTCGGTCGCCTCTGGCTTCTCTGTGCGGCTTCCCCATAGCTGCTGCATAGCAGGAGGGACTCAGGACCAGCACTGATCGCAGAGGGTGGTGGCCTTTCTTTGTCACATCTTATAGACAGTCTCTTTAGCCCGTGTCACCCTCTCGGGGGCTGGGTTCCCGAGGTGTTTCACGGAGCAGTAAGTGCCTCACGGACACGCACACTTCTTAGCGTGCGCGGCTACTTCTTGTCTCAGCCGTGTAGCCTGGTGTTGAAAACGAGACCAGCAAAGCGCAGCACGTGACATTGCCGAGACAGCAGACCGAGCTTGTAAGCGGCCTCTTTGAGTGCTCATCATGGCACACGTGGCCATCTGTACCGAGCAGTCACCGGGTTTATTTCTTCTGGGGTGGTGCCGTGAGTCTTCGATCCCATTTGCACGGTGGCTTTGGGAATGGAGATCACGCACCTGCACACGGGCTGTGGAAGTGGCATGCAGGGAGACTGCCACCCAGGAGTGTGCATTCAGACTGGCCCCGGGGGTTGCTCCGGAAGCGAGCAGGTGCTGTGCATGTGGTGACAGAGGGGGGCCCGCGGCTGTGCCTGGCAGAGGCCAGGCTAACATCTGTTGGATGGAAACTGCACACACCACACAGTCTTATCCAATCCTCGCCCACAGCTCTGCGAGGTGGGCACCAGCCCAGGTACAGCTAAGCTAACAGAGGTGTCCCAACGCACCTGTGATCCTGAGCTGAACGGAGGGGCCAGAGCGGCCTCTGGGGCTGCCAGAACTGGCCTGCTTTAAGCACCACTGCCTCATGCTGACGCCTGGCCCAGAAATCAAACCTGCCTGTGAGCCTGGGCAGAAGAGAAGTCCCATTCTTGGTGTTGGATATTGGCAGGTTTACTTACTTTTCACTTCCCAATGTAATTGTAAAGGCAGTCAGGATTCCTAAGTCCCTACTCGTGACCACCAAACACCTTCATCTTGATAATGATGCACGCAGCTCTGCAAGGTCAAGTGTACCAAACGGGCACCGTGCAGTCCCTGGGAGTGGAGAGCGACAGCTGCCTCGTGGGTGCTGTACCCCTCGGACCCTTGGCTTCCCGCTCGCCACACGCAGTGCGTTGCTTCCCTCACACATGGTTCAGGACTTACATGGCCGCCGGGAGCCCCCACACCAACTCCTTTCAGAGAGGCCCCTGAGCATCCTGCTGTTAGGGATTAAACTCCGTCAGGGCCAGCGCTTGGGGTTCTGTGAGTTCCCCGTGGCCGGTCTGTAACACGCGACAGCAGAATCCTGCTTGGGAAGGTCAAATGGATGGAGCAGACGGGGAACTCTGGCTTTTCCCTCATGCCTGTGACAATCACAAGGTCAGCTAGGGACCTGGCTTGTTATGAACTCCCCTAGGAGTGCCTCATTCTCTTGGAAATTTGAAATAGTTGAGAGGCTGCTAACAGTCCTGCAGGAGGTTGGCACGTCCGGGGACATTAGTTGTTCAGTGGCTAGGGTGGAGAGCACGGTAACTGCTGTGGGGCAGACAGTCACCGACACTTCAAGGGGGCTGTTTGCTTCAGTTACAGTGAGTGCTGCCTCTCTCGTCTCTCTCATATTTGTCTTTCTGGATTGTTCGTCATTGCCTGCCACCAGGAAGATGCAGCACCTTCTTGTCTACACTTAGTGTTTAGAAAAGAATGAATGCCCCCCATGCCAGTCAGAACAAATCTTCCGCACCAGGTCCGTGAG